GGGCGGCGCCGCCACCGCGCGCCTTTAGGCTGAGGGGAGAAGGCGCGGAGGGCGCTACGAGGCGTGTCAGGGCAAGCGCTGTGGCCCGTCCATCGCACCTTGGCTGCTGCTCTCTGCTCCCCACTGGGAGGACTCCTCACACCCTTCCTCCGCGCCGGCGAGGGTCCCTCCCGCAGCAGCCCGTCCGCCGTGGCCTCCTCCAGCCTGAGTCCTTCCCCCGGGCTGCAGCTCTTCACGAGCTGCCCCAGCGCGGGTCCCTCCCAGGGGCCGCAGCCCTCAGGCACAGGCTGCTCCAGCGTGGGTCCCCCGCGGGGTCACAAGTGCTGCCAGCAACCTGCCCCACCGTGGGCGCCTCTCTCCACGGACCCACAGCTCCTGCCGGGAGCCTGCTCCAGCGTGGGCTTCCCACGGGGTCACTCCTGCTCCAGCGTGGGGCCCCCCTCGGGCTGCAGGTGGGTCTCTGCTCCCCCGTGGAGCTCCCCGGGTGCAGGGCACAGCTGCCTCACCATGGGCTGCCCCACGGGCTGCCGGGGAATCTGCTCTGGAGCCTGGAGCACCTCCTCATCCTCCTGCACTGACCTGGGGGGCTGCAGCGCTGTTTCACATATTCTCTCTCCTATCTCTGGCTGAAATTTCCGTGGCACAGGTTTTATTTTACCCCTTCTTAAATATCACAGAGATGCTACCACTGTCTCTGACTGGGTTGGCCTGGGCCAGCAGCAGGTTTGTCTTGGAGCCGGCTGTCATTGGCTCCATCAGACATAGGGGAGGCTTCTAGCAGCTTCTCACAGAAGCCCCCCCTGTAGCCCCTAGCTAACAAAACCTTGCTAGGCAAACCCAATACAGGTGTGCTCCCAAAGTCTGCATGTATGTTAAATTGGAGAGGTGGTTAAAGTGTCATGGCGGGTTCAGTTCTGGTGCATTGGGCTCACAGGGCAGGTGGTTTATGTAACTACTAACTTGATCTTGAAGAACTCCAGTAATGTGCCAAGACTTCATGGTGCAGGGCAGAGTGCAAACGCAGAGCTTTTCCAGTCCCAAAGGGTTCACAGCGTCTCTGGGACAAGAAGCCTTCCAACAAACACTGAGAAGGTCTTGCATAGTCTCGTTTCTATGTTAAACCACAACAGAAAACGTAGGAATTAAAAATACCGTTGAAGTGTAACATCCCCGTGGGAGAATTGTAGATGCTGGGGGGGGGATATTCCTGGCAGGTGAATCCCAGTGCCCTGGGGAGCTCTATTTCAACCAGCAGGGCTTTGATTGATACAAAAGATTTGTCCACACTGGTTAATTTTCAGGATCAGTGCATAACTGTGGTGATTTCCAGACCTTTTATGGTGTTTCAACAATTTGATGCTAATGCTCCTGAACATAGTTTAATATCTGCAAGTCGACCACTATCCTGCACGATGCCAAGGCTTTTCATAACTGCAGTCACTGCAGTTTTCTGAAGTGGTGGCTTCTTGCCATCACAGACAAGGCTGCTCACTGCGGGGGGGAAGGCTAAATATTGCATAACTATATTAATGTACTGAAGCAATGCATTTGAATGCTAAGCTCCAGCAATAAAATGCTTCTCTTTTCCTAGTTGCTAAGCCTTCCCTCTTCAGAGATACTGTTGTTTTTGCAGTGATGTAAGCGCACAGGGCTGAGTACAATAGGAGAACTGTGTCAGATGAATAGGAGGTTTTCCCTCCGGAAGAGCTTGCAGCTTAGGAGCACAAGCTGGAACTGCACAGGACAACAGTGAATGGTACAATGTTGAAACGGCATGGTGGGTGGCTCTTGTTAAGTGCAACGCACCACAGAACAGATGGGTTTCAAGGAGTATCTTGGAGGAAGAAAGGGAGAAAGCTTTGCATACATTAAAATAGAGTCTGTTCTGGGCATAATAAACAGCACTGCCAATTCTAGGGTGTTACACTTCCTTCAGTTCTTGCTTCATAAATCTAGTGTCTCTCTCTCTCTGTATGCTTTCTAGAAGAGTAGTTTCTGAGAACACACTTTCACCTATTTATTATGTTCAAGTATTTATTATATCTACTGTTCCAAAGCGATTTGCTAATGTGTTCTCTGTGATTATTTATACACCAGCACCAGGTGAGTAGACAGATGATATTAACATGGCAGTGCTCTAATCGTAGCACACTACAATTTTGTCAATTTTTTTCCTGAATTATAAAAAAATCCCAGGAGTTAATTCTGGTCTCAGTAAAGGAGATGTCAGTCAAGTTCCACTGGCATGGACCACCACTGGGCTCAGCACACAAACACAGGACACTTCTCTCTGTTTGTCTGGCAGACCCATTAGAGCCACTGCATGGTAGAGAACACAGAGCTGCTCCCCTGTGGCATACGTGTTATGCCGCTGCTGGACTTCTAGAAATCCTGGGCAAGTGCAGTGGAGAGCAGGAGGTCAGTTAATGAGGCATAAAAGCATTAGGGCTGGCAGTTTTCTATGTACAGTCTGGCTGTCTGCTGTCTCCAAAATCTCAGTTGGAGATTTTGCTTAAGAAGCAGGAAGGAATAATATGATAAACATCAAATGATATATGCTCATTGAAAAGCAAGCAAACACCTGGGCTTAAGATACCTTAATGTGAAGACAGTTTACAAGTTCAGGGAAAGAGCCATTAGCTCCATCCTGCTCACTTTAACGAAGACAAAGCTACAGTTTTCAAAGACAGCTCAAGAAAATGCTTCTGCACAGACACACATTTGTGTTATCCTGGATATGCAGGTCCCTCTGTAATACGTACAATGTTTATTCCTTGCCTGCCACTATATCTTCCATTTGCAAGTCCCAGTAAGTTGTTATTTACTGCCTGAAATCTTCAGGCATTGCCAGTACATCTAGAATCTTACCTATATACCTGGAAATACAAGTAGTGCTGATGGTGCAGCTGAAAGGTAATTTGACAAGTAAGAAGTTAAAGGGAAGACTGATGAGCTTGAGAATTTGCTTGCAATTCAAAAAATTGTTTAGGTTGGAAAAGACCCTTGAGATCATTGAGTCCAACCATTAACCTAACACTACTAACTCCAACACTAAACCATCCCTGAGCACCACATCTACAGGTCATTTAAACAGCACCAGCGATGGTGACTCAACCACTCCCCTGAGCAGCCTGTTCCAATGCTCGATAACCCTTTTGGTGAAGAAATGTTTCCTAATATCCTGTCTTAACCTCCCCTGGCACAGCTTGATGCTATTTCCTCCTGTCCTATCAGTTGTTACTTGGCAGAAGA